CTATAAATTCATATAAATTTGTAGGCCCCAACTTACAATCATTTTTTGAACAATGCTTTCTCTTGACTTTAAATATTTTTGTTGATAAAAATACTACAAAACTGTATTAGAAATTTTTAATATAAATACCCTGATATATTTAAGAAATTAACTTACATTTTACGAGCCTATTAATAAATTTTCGCACAGTGTACAACGATTGCTCCTGCCTGCCAACGGGCATATAATGAACTTTCGCAATCTCGCTGCAGCCGTGTGGGTGTGAGTGAGTTTCCCAGCGTGCGTGTGTGTGTGGATGCGACTGAGTTTTCCCCGTTGAGAGTGTGTTTGTGTGGCTGGGCGAGGAGCTCAAGTGTGATTACATGGGCCATGTTCGTTGGCATCGAGTGTTTGTGGCATAATATTATTGTTTTTGTGCTCGCGTGTGAAATCAAACTCGATGCAAGGCAATGCGATGCATTGGCAAAAGGATTAAAAGGATACGCCAGGAATAGGAGCAGAGAGATGGGGACAGGGGGACCAAAGGACAAGAGCAGTGCACGTGCATGACGTTCGAGGATTGTTCGACCTCCATCGTGGCACTGGCACCCACTTTTCCTCACCCACTTTTCCATTTTCCCACTGCAGTCGAGTTCATAGTTATCTGCAGTTCGATCCGACAGCTTGTAAGTGTAAACAGATACATAGAACCTTGGGTTATTAACGCCAAAGCCAAATCGACTATCGGAATTCGCTGCAGGTATCAGATATAGTAATCCTCCTTTCAAAAGAAATATTGAAAATACATTTTTTCGGTTTTTTTTGTTGGAGTTCGTTAAAAAATATCTGGGAACATTATGGTCCATGGCTATAGAGAGTCTATAAGGACTATAATAACATACTTATAAAGAATAAGGATATTTGAGAATATAAAACAATACATAAGAACAATCCCATTTTAACCTTGCCTATTATATTAAAGATACTTTGAGTGCTCTTAAGTTTTGTATTGCTAATTATGTCATTGAAAAGGGTATCTATTCCCATCATAATCTCCTAGTCCCACACCTTAAGGATAATTTAGAGCTCACACTTCCTGAAGGTGCTCTGCCAACGAAACCGAAACCATAACGACTCTCATCACTGGCGGTTGTCGGTAGCTTCCTTTCAGCTTCCCAAAGGGCGGATCCAGCCACAAGGATACTAGGATACTATATCTATCCTTGGGTGTGAGGATAGCTCCTGTAGACCCACTCGATGGCATCTGTTTTCAGCAGTTGCCGCCACAACACCCTGGAACAATAACAAAAACAATAACAAACCGAAAGAGCAACAAGGCTAACTTCAAGGAACCGTACTACAGTTATTTGACTTTTAACTTTTATTGCTTTATGTAGTTTAGATAAACGTTTGCGGCATGCCATAAATATGCAGCATGTTGGGCCACAGCGAAGAAAACAGAAAACAGCGCCAACAACATCGAGCAAAAACAGGGGAATGCCGAAGGGATCCTGGTCAAAGGAAAAACAACTATGGTCAGGGGGTAAAAAACACCTAAGTAGATAATACCCTTATATGTAAGAAATTATAACAAATTTACTAGCAAACTATTCCATTATTATCCTTTAAAAAAGGTGGTATGTAAATACTATATGGTAAAATAATATATTTACGGGGATTTTAAGAGAAGTGCCTTTAATGATATAACGATTTTTATATATTTTATTGCTTTTAAGGTTATATACATTTTGTTTACAAATCTTTAAAGGAATATATTTTTTTTTACATAAGAGTGTTCCCATTTTGGAACTCAAAATAACTATTATCTGCTTAAATAGAGCACATATAGAGCAGTGGACCTATTCCTTATCATATTATGAAAGTCATAGTACCCCCCAAAAAGTGTAGAGACATCTCAAGCTTAAAAAATATTGGTAAGTGGGATGTTGAAACCGAACTCCACGCTTGTCTGCTGATGGCCTTCGATGATAGACAATCGGCAGACAGACAGTTGGACAAATGGGGGCAGACGGTCTAAACTATTTCTGATTTATGCTGTAAGTTACAATCAGCAAGTTGCAACAGGGAACTTATGTACTTGCCACTTTTGCACTTGACTTTGTGGCCCGTCATTGTCTTGCGGCAATTTGTCGGGGCTTCCCCAACTCCGCTCCATATGTGGGTTCAAGTTTATGGTTACTTTCTTTCACTGGTGGAAAACTTTAAGCAGCGAAAGTTTTAATTAATTTCACACGCCCGAACTTAACTTGCGCATCTAATTACATGAGCAAGGTGTAAATAAGGGGGTGGTTGGATGGGTGGCTGAATGGTTGGGGATAATGTGTCTGTGGCCAACCATCATTATCGCGAGTATCATAAAATGCTGAAAGCAAAAGGCAAACAAACAGCAGCTGCATCCACAAAGTATGCAACACGTTCTCATCCGATAAAAGAGGGTTTGCGGTGGAATGTTGGGGTGGTTGGGGGTTAGATGGTGGAAGTATCCAGCAAAAAGCAAACAAATATCGGTTGTAACATTTAATGCGGGCCTCAAATTACACAGCTTAAATATTACAAGATTTTAGCAAAATCTAATGAGCCTTACAGCATTTTCATTTCGGATTTTTGAACAATAATATCATTAAAGAGGTTTTTTAATATATTTTATATGATATTGTGTACTTCATTTGTTTTTTTATGGATTTTGCATTATTTTATGGATACTTATTAAGGAAAGTTTCTTTGAGTTGAAGGTGGGTATGTTTTAGTTTCCTTTTATAATACCAGGAGAAAAAGAAAACTGACCTGAGTAATTTTTTATTATCTATTTTCGGTCCTTCAAACATATAATATATATTCAATTTAGCCTTCTTACTATGCATTTCAATCTGCAATTCAACACACAACGTTTCAATCATGATTTCAATGCCATTACTGTCACTTCACAATCACCATCATTATTGAAATCCTTGCGGATGTCCTAGGTTATAAGCCTCGGTCCACAAAGTATCTGGTCCATTTGCACATTTCGGATGCATTTGAAAATCCGCTTAAATGGCAACCGAAACGAAACGAATCGAGCCAAACCAAACCACGTACACCTCAAATCGACAAAGGCTTTCCCTCTCCTTCGATTCAGAAAAACACCTCCGACATGGAGTCAAACACCTGCGAAATTGAATGAGAAATATCCATTCCGTGTGCGTTGGGTGTGTGTATTTTCCGGTTGTGCCAGTGAGTTGTTGTTACGTTTTCAAACTTACTCCCCAACTCCCCGATTATTTTCAAACCCCGAACATAGTTGGCAAAAAACAATTTTATTTCATCGAAAGAATTTTGAGCAACACAAAAGGATTTTCAATGCATGAACTGCAACTGGTTTCCTTATTTTTTTGTCTTTCAAAAAATGTTCAATTCAGTTGGCTTCGAAATATTTGGCCTCACGGCTAAATTATTTTAAGCCACCAAAAATCAAATAGCTTAAATTTTTAAGGCATAAATTGGCAATGAATTAATGTATGAATTTTAGTATGTAATGTAAGCCCCCAAAAAATATTATGTGAATTTATTTAACTGTGAATGAAATATTTTTTCAGCATCTTTAGTAAAAAACCCAAAAAAAAATCACATGCATCTACTTTTCTGCGGCGAAATTTTAAATTAAAAGCAAACTTTGCTCATCAGTCTGGAGGAGTATGTGTTGTTGTGATTTGGCATATATCTATTTTTGTGCTGGTTGTTTTTGGTTTTTACTCCATCATAAAGCATCAAATGTCAGGAGCAGTCAACAACAACGCACAATTTCAAAGTTTGAATTGAGTTGCGTCTGGACGCCGCGTTCTACTTGGAGTTCCACATATATGTTTGTCTACCAGTTTTGTTTGCGATAGTCGGGGTTAGTCCCCAGGTTCGCTTCTAGAGACCCTCGGGATCGTCATCAGCGGAATGAGACGAAGAAAACAACAATGCGATGGGAATTCAGCGCCCTTACATGATTCATTCAAGCTCGTGCTTATCTTCAGCATGTGGATCATTAATATAGTACACATAAATGCACTTGAAAATTAAAGTGTTTATTTAAATCAATTTATTATCTAGTTTTAAGGTTTTTACATGGCTGAAGAAAAAATGTTTTCGATTACTGCAGTACATTATTAGTCATAGGGTTGTGACCTTAAGAAAAACATGTGATACTTGTATATGCTTATAAATATTTACATTTTATGCATAAGATAAATGACATGTCGGTTTTTGCTACGAACAAAAATAAAGCAAAAACTCTGATAAAAACTCAAGTGGCATCCAGAAATAATGTATATTTTTTATCTGCAAAAAGAACCAATTCAGCACAGTAAAAAATTATTCAAATACAATTGCTTAAATAAAACAAAAATATGTTATATTAATTTAACTAGTAATTATCTGTGTATATTTACTAAATATTATCTAGTTTTAGTTTTTGCTTAACTTAATGTACAAATTTAAAAATGAGTATTTAATTTTAAATATATTTTTAACTTTTTTTAAGCTTATTTTTTCTTTCTGTAATTGAGATAAATATTTCGCCGTTTGAGCACAAAAAGTACACATATTTGGGCTCATGTTTAGTTTTGATTCTTCTCCCGTTCATTGAGCGTCGTTTCTAAAATGGATTGGTCAGCAATTTTCGAACTTCTAAAGAAGTCAGAAGTCAATCTCTTTGTCCTAATACCCTTTGGTGTAATGATTTCGTTGGCGTTCGTGTGCTTTTTTTATCACTGCCATCAGTGTATTCGCGATCGTCGAAGAGCTCGGATCGAAGAGCAAAAAGTTCTACTGGATCAGCCTCTGAGTCGACTGTCGATCACTCCCGGATGCTCGATAGTCGCCAGCACCAAGTTAACCCACAGCCGCAATAGCGCAGACAACTATTAAAAACTGACCGTTTTGTAAGCTAATAAAATTAAATAATTATAAAATAACACAATTTAAAACAGTGATGATCAAGTTCCATTTTAAAGTACAGTTTATTTATATTTTAGGAAGTGCCTTACGATGACTGATGGTCAAATTCATTTGTCCTACTTTATCTGCGGACCACTCTTTATACTTATGGTATTTATATATTTCTACTACTGGTATTTAAATGTCCGCGAGTGTCGAAGATCCCTTGGGCGTGAGCCCCCGCCTTCTTTACTTGACGATATTTCTCAGGAACGAGTGCAAGTCTATTGACAAAGTACTTGCACTCGAGTTTACTCAATATGAATCACTGCACAGACAAAAAGAATTACTTATTAAGTACATTTAACCGTTTCAACACTTAGTAAATGTTAATAATGGAGATTATAGTGAAGTGTTATTACCATAAAATATATATAAACAAATGTTCATATTATTTTTGCATCAGATAGCGGAATTTATCACTCAAAGCGTACTCATTTGTTGTTTCCATAAACAGCGCTTTAAATAGTCTGTTATTTGTTTTCATTAGTAACAAAAGTTACTCCTCATCTTCAACAAATTTTCTGAAAATTGATGTAAAGTGAAACTGGTTTAAAAATAATTAAAGCATGAAAAATAACCAAAAACAAAGTAATTTAAAATTGTATTATTAGAATATGATTATGTTTAGTAGATACATGAATATATATGTAATACAAAATTGTTTTATTAAAAATTCAAGACTAATTATTTATTTTAATTGAAAATAAGGAAAAATTAGACATGAAAATGGGATAGAGTATTCAACCACAAACTCATAGAGGTATTCCACGTCAAAACCGGAGTCGTATAACTCAAGTTATGGAATCTAGAAGAGCAGTTTTGTGTTCCCATACGAAAACACGGAAAAATCGAACATGAAAATGGGTTAAAATTTTGACCATGGCTTAATAAAATAATTTAAATGCAGTTTATAAGAAAATTTAACTACAAATTCAAAGAGGTATCCCACGTCGAGATCGGAATAAAATTACTCTAGTTATGAAATCTAGAAGTGCAGTTTTAGGTTCCCATACTGAAAACCATTGGAAATACGGAAAAATCGTACATGAAAGTGGGTTAAAATTTTGACCCTGGCCTAATAGAACAATTTGAATGCAAATTATAAGAAAATTCAACTACAAATTCAAAGAGGTATCCCACGTCGAAAAAGGAATAAAATTACTCAAGTTATGGAATCTAGAAGTGCATTTTTGGGTTCCCTTATTGAAAACCATTGGAAATACGGAAAAATCGAACATGAAAATGGGTTAAAATTTTGACCATGGCTTAATAGATAAATTTGAATGCAGATTATAAGAAAATTCAACTACAAACTCAAAGAGGTATCCGCGTCGAAGTCGGAAAAAAATTACTCAAGTTATGGAATCTAGAAGTGCTGTTTTGGGTTCCCATATTGAAAACCATTGGAAATACGGAAAAATCGAACATGAAAATGGGTTAAAATTTTGACCATGGCTTAATAGATAAATTTGAATGCAGATTATAAGAAAATTCAACTACAAACTCAACGAGGTATCCCGCGTCGAAGTCGGAATAAAATTGCTCAAGTTATGGAATCTAGAAGTGCATATTGAAAACCATTGGAAATACGGAAAAATCGAACATGGAAATGGGTTAAAATTTTGACTCTGGCCTAATAGAATAATTTAAATGCAGATTATAGGAAAATTCAACTACAAATTCAAAGAGGTATCCCACGTCGAAATCGGAATAAAATTACTCAAGTTATGGAATCTAGAAGTGCTGTTTTGGGTTCCCATATTGAAAACCATTGGAAATACGGCAAAATCGAACATGGAAATGGGTTAAAATTTGGACTCTGGCCCAATTTAATAATTTGAATGCAGATTATAAGAAAATTCAACTACAAATTCAAAGAGGTATCCCACGTCGAAATCGGAATAAAATTACTCAAGTTATGGAATCTAGAAGTGCACTTTTGGGTTCCCTTATTGAAAACCATTGGAAATACGGAAAAATCGAACATGAAAATGGGTTAAAATTTTGACCATGGCTTAATAGATAAATTTGAATGCAGATTATAAGAAAATTCAACTACGAATTCAAAGAGGTATCCCACGTCAAAATCGGAATAAAATTGCTCAAGTTATGGAATCTAGAAGTGCTGTTTTGGGTTCCCATATTGAAAACCATTGGAAATACGGAAAAATCGAACATGAAAATGGGTTAAAATTTTGACTCTGGCCTAATGGAATAATTTGAATGCAGATTATAAGAAAATTCAACTACAAATTCAAAGAGGTATCCCACGTCGAAATCGGAATAAAATTGCTCAAGTTATGGAATCTAGAATGGCAGTTTTGGGTTCCCATATTGAAAACCATTGGAAATACGGAAAAATCGAACATGAAAATGGGCTAAAATTTGTACCCTCGTGTAATAGAAAAATTTTAATGTAGACAGTTAGGGAATTCAATCACGAACCTATAGGGGTAAAAATTAGTTTTCTTTCATATATCTTGAGATTCCTGAAGAATTAAGTTTTATGGTGAAAACACTAGTCAGTGGAATAATGTCGCCTTGTTTACAAAATCTGTTATGAATCATTTATTCTGCATCCCAATGCCAGTGTTTTTATTTGTCACCATTTGGGTGGGTTCCATAAAATGTGTTGCCTGTTATGCATCCGATGGCCCAGTAGTAAAATGTTTGATGAGTTCAGTGGCAAGTGGGAAGTACCTTTAAGTACGACTTAAGGTGGGAACGTGACGTCTGTGGGTGTATTTTTGGTTGGGAGTTTCCGGGTGTTGTTGGTTGCTTACGACGGGTCATAAATTTAGCCAAAAACTTGGCTATGCATCTTCGCTGACGTTTCCTTTCACGACCTGCAAAATTTAGAGCTGCACGGCGGTTTTGATGGCCCTCAGTGGCAGGACGGGATGCGCTAATAAATGACATTTTCATTCGCATCCCGGCAGTGAAGTTGTCCCAGGTAATAAGGAAAATTAAATCAACTGAGTCAAGTTGGCAAATAGTGTAAGATTAAGTTGAAGATTAAAGTAATTACAGCGAAATGGTTGACAAATTTATAAATTATTGTTTTGTCAAAAGAGTTTTCTTTAATTAGGTAAATTTATATTGCCAACCGACTTTTTTTAATGCAGTTCATAAGTGAAAATATTTTTCAGCAATGTGTAGAAAAATAAAATAGAAATAAATAAAATAATATTTTGTTGAGCTTGCGAATTCGATTAAGATGTCAATGTGGAGGAGTAGTGGATACTGTCAACTCAGCAATTGAATGTGATACATTGTTGCTGAAAGTAAAAATAAAAAATAGATTTGCTTAGTAAAATATAAGTTTTTAGACATTCTGAAAATTTATGAACATGTACCATTTTTAAAAAACCATTTCATAAATGTAGAGGTAAATTAAATTTTTATTTAATTTCTTCTTAATGGTATGTTTCAATTTATATTCTTAAATTTGGATTGCCATTGGCTTATAGTTAGATTAGCCGTAACTTTAGCTAAAATAAGTTAGCAGAACAATTTTCGAGCAACTTGTTTAGCACAAATTCCCCCCGAAATGGGGAAACCGAATGCAAATTCAATTGAATTAGTCAACTTTATTTGCTCATCATTTTGGGTAACTTTTAAGCAATATATAGATGGCAATGCATATATATTCTTTATTATGGGGACACATTCAGCCAATGACTGCTGCTCCTGCTGCCGCTGGTGTCTCCCTTCTAGCCAAATTGAAACGCTAAAATAATTTACGGCTCAACTGACCAGCTTCGGCTGCTCCTTCGGATCCTGCAGCAGTGTCCTGCCAGCTCCTTGATGGCTGGCACGTTAAATGCCATCGAAATGCTCCCAGTTGGAAAATTAGTTTAAAAATACGTTCGTTCGGTAAAGGATGCCTTGGATCCTGTGGCTGCTGCTCATCTTTATACACTAGCTGAAGGTATTATAATATTTTTAACTTTAGATTTATCATGTTTATAAATCACAAATGAACAAAATAAATACATTAAATAGTACTTGAACATAAATAATAAATAGGGGTTAGTTTATAACTATATAAAAATTGATATGTTGAACAAGTAGATTAAAAATTTGTTTTTAATAGTACGTATTATCTCAGATAATTTATGTGTAAAGTTCCTTAATATGAGTTAATATAGTAATTTTAATTTATTTATAATATAAAAAATATTGTTAATAGAAACAGAGTATTCCAAATGTGTCATACTTTCTTTTCCTTTCAATATTTTTCTTGTGCAGCAGCACGCGACTTGCGTTCATGGTGGCGTAAAAATTCACTTAGTTCAACTTCCCACTCACCCCTTTTATTTTAGCCAAGTTACCCGGAGAAAAAGCGACACGAAAAAAAAGCAAGGACTAAGAAAATTCGGAAGACGGTTGCCCAATAAAATGCTCATGTTTTACAATTTTATTAGGTGACGCGAGCTCATCAAATATTTAAATAAAACGATACATTTGGCGCTCCTCTTTCATTGTTCGCCTTCGTTTAAGTAATTGCGTTTTAGTGGACACATGTTTTACATTGAGAAATTTAGAGGGGGTCTTTAAATCATTCCCTGTTTATCTGGCGACCATAAATAAAGGCATTAGCAGTCGTCCTTCCTTCGAATTGCATCGAACTGTTTGCATTGCGACCGTGGCACTTGGCCGTGCAGCTGCTGCCGCCAAATGTGGGATTTACACTGCGGCCGGGTTAACCGCAATCGAAGTCGTCCCCTTAAAGAGATACAGGCCCCATACCAATTATCCACCCACAATCAGGATCATTAATTGCCCAGAGAAAGTGTGCATATGACCAAAATTTAGGAGGGAATAGTCACATTTCAATAAAAGCACAATAAAAGAATCCTGTTTAATTTTAACGCAAATAGAATATAAAGTTTAATATTTTAGGTTTAGACCTGAACCTAAAAATGATATAAAAAAATATTTTTCTTAGTATTTATATACCAAAATACTGAAAAAAACATAAAAATATATACGAGTATATCGGAAAGTAAGATAATTGTCAAGCTCATAAATTAGGCCAATCTATGAATAAAAGTGAAAATAGTCTAAATATTAAAATAATATATTATAAAAGAACGGATTATTCAAAGAGAGATAAAAGTTTGGAATTCGTTTCAATTAAAACTGAAATCTAAAAAGGGTTATATTTTAATAGTTTTTATAAAAAGCCATTGAAAAAACAGTAAAATTTATTTTAAAAAAATTTTATTAACATTTGTTTTTTCGAGTGTTTTTAAAAATATTTTTTTCTCCCTGTGCACTTTTATTGGCATTGTTTGATTTAGTCGCCGAACGCAGCACTTTGGCACTTGGAACTTTTGAGGATTGGCCCAATCGACGAGGCGGCGGATGGAGACACTCCTCGGGAAAATGTTTTGGCTGGCCAAAGAAACGGTTCTCGTCCTGGAGACCACCTCCTTCCCCTTCCCCCAAAATATCTTGCCGCACTTTGTTTGCTAATGAGCCAATTTAGTTGCATTGAACGCAATTGCATCGGACGTGTGTATGTGTTTGTGTCT